AGATTTCTAACTCTGGCTTTCATCAGGCGATTGAAAGGAGAGGAGCTCGCTTGGGAGCAGCTGAAGGTCTACAGATGGAAAGTCCAATGTCTCAGGATCAAAGAGTAGTTGACACCCCTGAGCCACTGGCAGGTGCTCAGCTAGAGCACAATACTTCAGTGCTGTCCCCAAATCCAACTTTCCATAAGAAGCATATTCCCCCTAAGATTTTGCTTCATATCATCACAAATCAGGCTGGTGGAGAGTTAGAATCTCTCACACCTCAGAGGAAACTTTTGAACTCAATTGACAAAGTTGAGAAAGTCATAATGGAGGAATTGGGAAAACTGAAGAGGACCCCTAGTGCTAGGAAAGCTGAGAGGGAGAAAAGAGTTGGCACATTAATGTCAATGCGGTGAAAACTGAGAGCAGAATAGTAAAGATGCTCACAGAATCCCCCAGATTAAGAGCAAGTTCATTGGAGGAGTTGCCTGACCCCACCCGAGCATCAACAGTATATTGCTTCTCACCATTTTCAGATGTCCCTAAAGGACTAGCGAAGCGATATGTTTGCTGTTTCTAACAACTAGTACTACTTCCTCTTCTCCCTCTTCCCAATGAAGCTCTTTTATCCTTCTGCATTTGCATATGCATATGCATCACCTTGTAAATGGTTTCTTTCTATGAAAGATGAAATGGGACACTTGAAATTTAATTCCCATTTTTATCCTTGTAAAATGTAGTCAGTTAAGCATATCCTTTCATTAGGATAATATAGTCTGTAAATAGAAATGAAGAAATGGGCAATCCCAAAATTGAATAAAATCTTTTTGGGCAAATCTGAGTTTAAGAGTAAATTAGTTTCTTGTACGGTTTACAATCATGCAATTCTGTTTGTTTTAATTGAGAATGATACGTCTTTACGTTTTCCATTTTGCTTTCCTGGATCATTTTGCTATAATATGAATGTTGCATAATAAATGAAAATGATTCACAAGAAGGGAAAGACTGTTGTGATTTTGTTTCAAAATAAGGTGTTACATCTTCGTGGGGGTTTAAATTTTTTGTGTGGCTGCCTTTGAGACATTCTGTCTTACTGATGAAGTTGTCTGATTTGCTCTTAGTGTTTCATTGTCTCCTGCTGTATTATTTACAAGCAAAATTCTTCATGGCACTTGGAGTTTTCTAACAGCAATGGAAATTATTTGGTAATAAAAGATAAGTAATAAGGTGAGAGTAAAAACATAAATAATAGTTGTTGATGCTAGATTTTGACACCAATTATTCACACGTACAAAGTGCTAGACGGATTTAGAGATTACATGTGAACTGGAAAATGAATCAAATAATAGGGAGACAATTTTTAAAGTGGTTCAGATACTCAAGGCGAATCCTACGTCCATTCTCTGTTTATTTACGAAAGAGTACAATCAGGTCGTATGCAGCGATCTAAGAGAGCAGAAATACAGAGGGAGAGAGAGTGTTTTTATTTATTTATTTATTTATTTATTTATTTTTGTTATCACGACTAGAATCCCAAAAAATAGAGGGGAGTTCTCTATTTATAATAAGAGGTTTTTGGTAATGATTATGAGTTTGTCAGCGGGTAGGTGCCACGCAGTTCCTACTTTGCTTCTCATTGGTCGATTGCATGAAAGATATACTTAAATCGCGTAGGGCCTTGGCAAGTGTGTGACTCCCAGCCACTCACTCGCCTAGCTTTTACCTGTCAAGCGGATAACAACCTTACTCCTTCTAACCTTGGACAACGTGGCAGCGCCTAGACGGCATAATGCCTTCCTAAACTCTAATTGGTCCTTGTTGACGTGAGCCTGTGTCAACCCTTATTTTTTAGGCATAACAAAAACCCTCCAGTTCTTAAGGTTCAAGACTTGAACTTTGAAAACTTCATGATTATGCTATGATTTGGCTAATCCAGAGGATCACTTGCGCGAGCTGCAAGCGGAGTACAGCTGAAATAACACGAAGTGCACGATTTTACATAAGTGTTGAAATTGCGAAACAATTTAAGAAATATTTGCATCATTAAAAAAGATAACACATTTTTTGTTTTGTTTTATCAATTAAAAAAAAAATGAAAAAAAGAAAAACAAGTTGAAGCAAAAATAAGGAAGGAGACATTGAAAAATATTGATCTAAAATAAGGTTTTATAATTTATAAGGGAAATTAGGGATCTTATCTTGATTATAATTATTATTTTAATTTGTCTATGTTAGTCATCTTAAAAAGGATAAGATGTGTAATAAAATAAATGGTGAGGGGCCGATGGGGATAACATCACTTAATGTTTTTCCAATAATATTAATTTTTTAGTAAACAACTTTTTCCCACCCAAGGTTTGCCTAAATTAATTTCCCACCCAAAAGTTTCAAAATACCACTTTCTCACCCAAAGTTAATATTCTGTTACAACCCAAAGCCTATTCTGGCCAATTCTGGTGGCAAAAATTCTCTATGTCAATACCATTTGAACCATCTAATATCCTTTCTATAAAACCTCTCTCACTCTGACACCTGACTTCTCGTCGATTGTCGATCACCGCAAAACTATATTATCTTTATGCAGCGGTAAATAATAAAAAATATTGCATGAAGAGTTAAATCATACATGCAATCTCGCAATTTACATTGAAAAATCTCACTTGTGTGCATAAGTATTAAATTTGTTTATTAAGCAGTAAGTGATCTCATATGATACTTGATCCATAATTTAGTTATTTTTCATTGTAAATATTGTTATTGACAAACTGCTGTCCTTGTCAAGTTTAACCCCAGATTGTTAATATATTATACTTATTATAATTAATTATTTAACCTTGTTGGTAGCTTATTGTTTCTACCGAATTCCCGTTACAATATAGTAATAATTTAAAAAAAAAAAAAAAGAATTAACTACATCAATCAATTGGTACAACTATGTAATCATAAATCACAACACCAACTACATACTTAAGGATTAATTAGTGGGTCCTTCTTTCTTAATTAACTAATTAAAACTTTGATTATTTAAATTATTGAAAATTAATTAAATGACTTGAGGTATTAGTTTTCTTAACAATGCAATCATTAGATTACACTTTGAAGAATGAATTGATTAAAGATTTTGAAGTTAACAACAACAGTGGACTATTGCCATCACCGATTTTTTTTTATTTTCGATCGATTCATTTACTGAAAATAACCTTCGTCGCCACCATTGCACTCACTGACCCTTTCTCTTTAAACCCCCAACATCTCAACTTTCAATTATTCGCCAATCATCATCTCAATTTTTAAGGTTTTCGGTGAATAGGAAAATTAGTAACCCAACCCAATGAAGGCCCAGACGATTGGGCTTTAAAACATTGCCATTACCCACTGGATTTGGATTATCTATTACTCTAATTTTACTTGATCTTTAAAAGATTTAAAGATATATGACAATTCCATCATCTAACAGTTATAAATTATTCATATAAATCAGAGTTTTGGACTTATATCCAAACATAAAAACCTAATCCCTTAGATTATTTTACCAATAATTCTTACTGACATTGTTTTTCAATGAGATGATAGACAATAAAAGCATAAGTTCATTAAATAATGTGAACATAACTCTTTTTCCCAAGTAATAAATTCAACTTGATAATTAGTCTTCGAATACGTAATGCTTTTCAAAACCTCGTCTTCACGACATATTTGTAATATTAAAATTTAATAATTATACTCATATAGATACGTGCACTAGTTTGAGTGAGATTTATTTTTTATTACAACACAAACTACACGAAGAACTGTTGTTATTCTTAACCCATGGCCATTTTCAAGAGCTTAAATCCTAGAGCTTGCTAGTAATGTTTACATTCCTAACTTTATTGGGCTTTGGGCTTGCATCTTTCGGAACGACAACAGTGAGAACACCATTTTCCACATGGGCCTTGATCTGATCCAACTTCACATTTTCCGGCAATTCAATTTCTCGAGAAAATTCTCCTTTTCCTGTTCCTCTTTCAGCTACATGCCAAACCGTGTCTTTCCCATTTTGCTCCTCTTTACTTGCCTCTCCTGTTATCCGCATTACGTTCCCATCTTCTATTTGCACCTTTATGTTCTCTCTGCTCAATCCTATTGATCAATCAAACAAAAATGTTCAATCAAATAAATTCCACCTAAATTCAACACAAAACCCATTTATAAAATCATGCGTATGGAAAATAGGAGAGATTACCTGGGACGTTGATTTTGAAGATGTGGGCATTTGGAGATTCAAGCCAATCCATGAGGGCGGATGATCCTGACCATTCACGGAAGACAGGAGGGCTCAAGAAGAAACGACGAAATGGAAAAAAGTCAGCCATTGGAGCTGTGAATTGATTCAGAATTATAAGTGTTTTTGATCGTGGAGTTGAAGAGGATTGGGTTCTAGTTTTATTTATGAGTTGGTTGCAAGAGTCGTCTTTGAGTATCCAGAATCTTCGTTGCGTCTTATCCTCTGTTTTGTAGTTATTTTCCAGGACTTTCGAGAAGATATTAATTTTATTATCGATAACGTCAGAATTGTTTGATAAAACACCTGTTATATTTGCCCAAAATGAGGGCCAAAATAAAAAAGCCAACAGGCAAAGCCCAAGAACAAAAGAACTCAGCCCACAAATCCAAATGCTTTATAAAGTTAAAAGGAAAACCTGCAAAGCAGGCCGACCGGGCCCAAACGGGTATGGTTTGGGCCTAAACGGGTACATGTCAGGCCCAATGAGTACACATCCAATGGGTAGCGCCCAAAACGACTGATTCTGAACGGGCCTAAAATATTGGACTCATAAGTCATACCCTTCCTTATGCGGTTAAGGGTGAACGCGTGGGTATCTGTGGGTGCGTTAAGCTTATTGTTTTTATCCATATTCCCAATCCTATTTTTCAAATATTGTTTGGCACGTTATTCCCAAAATATTAGTCTATTTTTTTAATCACGTTGAGACCCTATAAGTTTATTAATTTCATTAAATCCACCCCAGAAAAAAAGTTTAAAAACTAACAAAAACACCCCCACCTACCAATACCTGTCAGATTCCGACAATCACCGCCGGTGATAGCCGGAATCTATTACAATAGTCACACAACCACCGAAAAGAGCCGGTAATGGCCAGATCTGGCCGGAAAAGGCCAGATCTACTGCCGTCATTAACAGACAACGACGGCCATATCTTTGGCCGTCGTTTTAGCCTTTTCCGACTGTCACAGTCACAGCAGTTCGTAGATCTGGAAAAGTGGATCTGGCAAGAAAAGGCTATAACGACGCGTTACGGCATAGATCCAACCGGTCTGTGTCGTAACGAAATTTTTCGGCCAGATTCTGGCTTTGGCGGGGGTGTTTTTGTCATTTTATATACTACGGTCTTTAATTAAATTAGTAAACCTAAGGGTTTTTTCATAAATTTTTAAAGTTTATCTCGTAATACTCCCCTATCCAACAACCTAATACTATCCCCAAAATCCTATCCAAAATAATAAACCAAACGCACCCTATATTTTTTCATTACAGTTTTCATTTTTTACAATCACACCTTCACAATTTCTGCACTTTACATTTGTTACTATCAAATCCCATAGTCAACTCCTCCAACTTCAATTCAATTCAATACACAACCAACTCAATTTCTCATCAATTTAAAACACACACATATTCTAACATCACAAACCACTACCAACATATAAAAAATAAATACATAAACTCAAAAACACAAATACAAAAACATAACATAAATTTAACTTGGCATCGTTCAACTATAGAGATTCTTGGGCAACTCATGTTCATTCCACAATGGTGGTATTAATGGATTCCCCTGATTCCGTAATCTCCAGATTAGTTAATGGCACATGAAAAAGATCATCATCCACATCATCATCTATAATTAATAACTATAAATATTAACAAATGAAAATAATAAAACCTATAAAATATTATGTTAACATATTATCTTTAATTTCATATCCACACAGCCAAATTTAAGGGTATAACAAAGATTATTTGATCGAAGTGAGTTTTGATATTTATTAATCATTTTGCTTTCAGTACTAAAGCTAACTCAAAAGCCACGGATATTATTGATATATTAAAGAATATCATGAGTCATCTTAACAAGTATCGAATAACCAGCGCAATTGAAAATTATGAAACAAGTTAAACATAACAAGAGTGCAGGCAACAACTATCTTATTTAATATATTATTATTAATAAATACAAAAGTTAAAACATTTTGACAAACGTGACACTAAACTGGAGAGTGCAGGCAGCAACTATCTTATTTAAATTGTTCTATTTATTGCACTCTTTATCTACAAACAAAAGTCATTAAGGTCAGTTTAACTAAGCAGCCAAGGACCCAAGGTTAAACAAGTGGCTTCAATGGAACCCTTGACAAACACCTCATTATAACACAAATAGAAAGAACATAAAGAAGCAATTCACAAAAAGGGGAAAAATAAATTCGTGCACAACACAAATTCAGCCTTAACTAACAATTCCAATTGTTCAAGAGCAACCCACTCTAATCAAGCAACACCTGTGATAATGCACTAAACGATGACAAACTTACCCAAAATTTTAAAAAATACAGTAATAATAAAAATAAAAATAAAAAATAAAAAAAAAGCTGGCAACTATACAACATACATTAGGATAGCAACTTGGCAAATTATAACATACACTGCTCCAATTAGGAATGGAGAATCCTAGTGACAAGATTAGCAAGCTTCTTACAAGTACACAAACAACCCATGTTGTTGACTATGGACAATATGTCGTCACAGCCCAAATGTAGAATCCTTCACTCTTTCATACGCGAACTTTTACTTTTAGAGGAATTGGAGTAGGTTGACATCAATCACTTTGTCTAACTAATGCATCGAGGTAGCATAACAATAAGGTTAATACTTGATTATACCTTTAGAATTGATAAACAAGTCACAATCACATAAACTTAAGTCTTAAAATCTGAATAATAAAAAAACGAATAATAAGTTTATATATGGTGACAACCAACCCTAACAAAACTTCCAATAAACAATAAAATAAAATTCAAATTAATTAAAAAAATGAAAATCCTAAATAAAATAGGAAGAAACACACAAAAAACTAAAAAAAAATCTCGAAACACGCCGAAACAATGGATTTTGAGCCCACGTCGTAGGGCTCAAAATGAGTTTTCCGTTAATATATTATAGGCCCCGTAACTCTTTTTGGATCAAAAGTTATGGTTATTTAAAGTTGATATATCAATGTTTGGGCTTCTAATACTTAACCCTATCTAATAATTCATTTGCTAGACGTTCTATGTCACTTTGTCCATCAAAATAAATCTCAGTTTTTCATCAATCACATAAACATAAAACAAATTAAAGACGAGTTGAGACTCAACATGTAAAACAGACAACAATACAATACAATATAAGAGATGTAGAAGGGGAGTTATGTGAAACACTGAGCATCAGTTTTAAAAAGCTCGAATTTTCAGTAAAATTCAATCGATTACTTTAATAAAGAAAACACAATCAGATCAGAAAACACATGTTGAAGTGAAGCCACTAAAACGCTGTCGCATGTGCTTAAAATGAATAAGTTGTGCGCTATCATTTTTAACATGCTTGGGAGAATGCTGATCGTTGATGGCAACAGTGATCCAACGGCTGAGATTTACATTTCAAGTCAACATTACAAGCAACCCCAAAAAGTGCAGTAACTAATCAGTCTTCTTCCCTTTTTCATGAAACACAGAGTGCTCTCAAATTTTTCAGTTTTCAGTTCAAAAGTCAGTGTAGTTTCAGTGAGTGAGTGATTAGTTCTTAGTCATTCTGTAAGGGTTATCTATTCTCTCAAAGATTAGAGATACTAGGAAGAGTTTATCTAGATTAGGAGTTACAAAGTGAGTTTTGGTTGTGATTGAGTGAAAGATTGATTGATCTTTGTTCTTGTAATTGTAAGTTCTTGATTAATTAGTGCAATGAGCCCCAAATATTCTTGAGCTCAACGTGGATGTAATATATCCAATCTTGGATAGGTGAACCACGATAAAAACCTTGTGTTTGTTCTTGATTGTGTTATTGTGTGGATTGTTTTGGTTGTGTGATTGATTGATATTGGAGATTGATTATTAGGCTTGAATCTTAACAACACACACAAGAGAGAGAGAGAGAGGAGACTTCCATCAATATCTCCCATTTTCAAGATTATGTCTCATGAGTCCTAAACTTGAGGCACCCATGCCTAAGAACTCCTATAAAAAGCACATGAAATTGATCATGAGTTTTTGGTTTTTGGCTTATGCATTAAGTTTAGGAGTCACGAGGCACGTTCTTATATATCTATAATATTAAGGGTTCTTGGATAATGGGTTTGGGGTAATAATAGGCTAAATCTTTGACGTCTTTTATATCATAAAATGGATCCAGTTTTGAATTATATATTTATAATAATTTATCATTTTTAAATCAATACTAGGATTAATTTAAGATGGAAATTCTTATTCTTATTGAAAGTTATCCAAATAAATACTCGAATGTACTGTAAAAATTTTCCTAACAATTTTTAAAGATTTTTTTTAATATATTTTTCTTAATCGATATTGTTTATTGTTTTGTTTACTCTTTATTTAATTTTATCAAACGAAAGGTACATGGGCTGATGATGCATAAATGGGATAAGCCGGACTATAAATGGGTATTCATATCATATGTGGGCTGAATAGCTCCGCCCAGTCTTACTTCAAATCCATAATAAGTTAAATATTAAAGAAATATAATATATAAATAACATAACATTAAAATAATTATTTTTATTTTAACATTATCACTTAACAGTACTTAATTACTATATATTTTAATAAAAGTTTAAAAAACCCTTTCTTTATTAAATCAAGGGATCTATTCGAGTTGGACTGTTGGTTCCCGTAAATATATTGCAATATTCATGAGTTTTATATTTGATAATATACAACGTTATTTGTATATGTTGCAAGTCTTAAAACATTTTATTATTTCGAGTTAAAGACATAGACACATTAATGTATATAATTTAATAGCAAAAATCCTCTCGATATTTTTTAAATAACAAAAAGTCTCCTGTCGTAGTGAACCGTTAATGAACTATTACTTTGCACCATATGAGTTTGTAAATATTACCTAATTCCCCTTAAACCATTTATTCTAACATCTAAAAACTTGGGGGATTTATATTATTTTCAAAACCTTAAGGGGGCGTTTGGTTCAGGGAATATTGGATTATTGAGAATCTTTAGGAAAATGTGTTTGATTAATTGGTGGGTATATTATATTAATATGTTTGATTGGGAGAAATAAATTGATGGATATGTTATTTAAATTACTGAATTATCCTCTAATTAAATATTATTACTATATTATTTTTTAATATTGATTATTATTTCGATTATTATAATCCCCTGCATTTAAAAACTTAGCAAAAATAATCCCACAATAAAAGTTTGAAATCAACAAAACACCCCCACCAACTCAGTCACTGTCGGCCACTGGCAACCTAACGGCATACTGAAGGTAGGAAATAGCCTCCGTGCGCCGTATGGCCATTTCTGGCCATCCAAACGTGACAAACTGTCAACTGATGCCTTAATTTTGTACATCATGTCAGTATGAAAAGAAAAGGATATGTGATATTAACTTAATTATTGAAGAATTTACGACGATTGCCTTAATGTAACGATCATATAAATATCAATATATCTTTAATAACGATCATATAAATATCAATATATCTTTAATAATATCAATGATAAAATTCATTCCCTATATATTAATTTATTCAATTCGATATGTACTACTCGCATTCATTTTTAAAAAATAAGTGAATCCAACCAAATCTATGTGCATGCCCCACGGCATATTCATGAATTCTAAATCAATTGATTATCACTTAATTAGTTTGTCTCTTTAAGCCAATAATTCATCTGTAGCTTCTTCCCTTTATTACTTTATTTCCTTTTCGATACAATTTTAATATTTTTCATAGTTTAAAAATGTTTCCACTTTCTCCTTTCGTTCCTTAACCTACAAGCTCGTCTCATCCTCTGCCCAACTTCTTAATTCAAAAGTCTTCAAACAAGTTGTCAATAAAACCTCTTTTACAGTTTGATATTCGATATTGTCAGAGTATATTTATATGTAAAACACAGACGATAATTCATATTGGTCTTATTTTGAGTAATTTATGGAGAAGTTTTTATTAATTTCTGTGTATCAGCATGACTTCTAGTCTATATTTATAATAAGCAATAGCCGGTTTCTCTAATTAAAGATTAATAATAGGACTAAACAAAAGAAAAAGAAATAATAATCAGTGTAGTATACTTAATTATAAAGAGAGATTAGGAGAAACAAAACAAAAGAAAAAGAGAAAACGATCGACTTTAATTTGTTTGTCTTCATATATAGCTCTTGCAAACATGTAATCCACTATATTAATGGTGGTCTTTTTCATAAAGTAGTAAGAAAAAAGATATATTGTCAAATTATTAAAGGGAAACTTAAATTAAGCTCACTTTTGATCGACCTAACTAGTTTTTGTCAAACTAAACCAGCTGCGCATGCTCGGATCTCTCAACGCATTAAACTTAAACTCAGAGACGGAAATATTAATCATTGAAGCTAATTCAATTTTAATCACCTCTCTCTCTTTTCTCAGGTGCAGCTGGTTTTGAAATATAAATTATTGTTTCAGGGTTCCTCACATTGCAATAATGAAATAAGATAGTAAATTAATGGAAAAAAGCATTAATTTTTTATTATTATTATTTTTTTTTTTGATAACCAGAAGTGTCCAGGCCAGCTTGTGTGTACCTCACTCGTCCTTCAGAGCCTAAAGTTAACGATCAAATAAGTCTCCAATGACTACCCTTTATTAATAGTTGTAAAGATTCGAACTCACAACTTCTTCCCAAGCAAACCGTCAAACTACTTAGAGGTAGTTAAAAATATTAATTATCTCTCCTATTGCAATAATGGAATTAATTTAAGTAAAAGAAAACAATGCTTTGGTTGGTTGATATAGAGATTAAGTAATTGGCTTATGACAGCACTCAAGAGAGTTTATTAATAAAGCATTAAAAATAGAAAAGGGGTATGGAAGTTGGTGACAAGAATGGAGGAGTTTAGTACTTTAGTAGTTTAGTGTAGGGCTTTTGCTCGAGATCCAATTTTCTCAAAGTACCCAAAATCTTCTTTATATGACACCACAAAGTAAGCAAATATTCATACATACATACATATATATATATATTGGAACTTGGGGAGATTGATCGATGTTGAAGAAATGAGTTCTTGCTAATTACAAGCTGCACATCCAGCTGTATATCTTACCAACATTAATTAATCTTGAAGAATTATATATTTGAAATAGAAACTGATTGTGCATGCATGGATAGAGGGCAATTCATGCAATTAATTGATCAACTTTAATAAAAGTAAGATTAACACAGATTCTCCACTTCAATTGTCGATAACATTTTTAAGTTGGTAGATCCACCAATATACGGAATTTGACGATTCCAGCATTATCCCACTTAACATAATTAAGTTTCATCACAGTGATATATGGAAACCGCTTTTTTAATTTTATTTTATTTTATTTATCAACCAAAAGGGAGATGATTCACTCCTAGTTTTAATACACAGATAGGAGACTGTTGATTTTCAAAAGTTGTAAAAAGACTTCTTGAGATTATGAGAGAGTAAAGCAATCTGATTGACATGATCCATGAATTTACTGGTAAAAAGAAAAATAGCAGAAGAGAAAGGAAACAGAATCTGAAACTTTACAAAAAGAATATGGCCATTATATTTTTGCAGATTTTACAATACAACAAGTGGAGAGGAGAGTGGAATCTTAGCCGAACTTCCTTTTCAACTTTGTTTGGTACTTGCCCTTTTCTCATCATTTGAAGGAATTAATATTATAAATGAAGTTGAAAAAAGAGCAAAAAGAAAGAGGAAAGTTGACATCATGAAGAAATAAAAAGAGGAACAGAAGAGTTTCAAATTAAAGTAGATCTTTTTGAAGGACATAGCTGTATGCCCAGTAACTCAATATTCTATTTACCTGCAAAGAAAGAAATAATCAAATGCATCAGAATTAATATATAAGATTACTCGAATTCCAACAATTTCATAGTAATTAGTAAAAGAGAAGACATTACCATGTCCCCCAAACATCTTTCTTATGAAAGTAAGAAATATTATCAATAAAGCTACTCCTGCTAACAATCCAATTATAATCGCAAATGTCTTGTCCCCATCGTTGCTAAGTTTATCTGCAATCATCATAATTAACTCCAAAAGGAAACAAAAATGAAGCCGCACTCATTGATTTCACAGGTAGAGAGAGTGGCTTACCCCCGTGGTCCTTCAAAGCTAGATGGCCTTTTCCAGTAGAGTACCTAGCATAACATTTGCCCAGAAACATATCACCGAAATCCGCCGTACCACAATCATTTTTCAGCCGTCCGATCGCCTCCGACACACAATCTTGACATTCATCCAAACTCAAATCCCCCACACACTGGGCTACACCCTGGACCCCTCCTGACCCACCAACTCTATACGGCCCACCCGCATTGGCCAAGCCCGCCATCACCGCATCTCTACGGCCCATAGCCTCTGGCTCATAACCAACCGACGGCCCACATTTCTTCAACACCACACTCTTATCCTCCACACCTAAAAACGACGTATTATCGTACTTGACATAGCACCCTTGAAGCTGCAGAGCTCCACCGCATGTTTGCGCGCACAACCCGCCCACTTGACTCACTGCACGTGCGACGCACGTGGCGCAGTCGGGCATGGAGAGGTCTCCGCGGCACTGGTAGAGCCCGTAAACGACGTCCTGCGGGCTGGAGCCGAGGATGGTGAAGTTGTTGTAGGAGGAATATGTGGCGGAGTTGACTAGGGAAGTGAGGAGTGAGTTGAGGTTGAACTCGTAGGGTGAGTCGGGTGCGTATCTTTGTTGAGTACAGCCTCCGAAAAGGAATGAATCCGTCGAAGAAGACGATGAAGGAACGGAGAGAGAAAAGAGAGACGCAAGAAACAAGAGAAGAAAACTTGTCCTTGTTGTTGTTGTTGCCATGTTTAAGAGTAGTTTTCTCTCTTGAAGGGAGAGAGAGAAACAATAACGTGAGCTTAATATAAGGAGTAAGGAATTTTCTGTAACGTGGAATTAATGGTGTAATTTTCTTTACAAAAAGAAAATAATATAATGTAATGTATATATCCTTTCATTTCTATATAGAAACTTGCTTTTTATGGGGAATATGGATAGCCAGGTGAAAAGTGAAGTGTATGTAAATCTCGTTTGAGGAGTAACTTTCTTCGATGAACCAGTAGAAAAGATGTCATGGCACAGAAAGAAAGAGTAGAAGGAAAAGTGTGGGGACTATCTTGGGATGGATTATTATAAAAATTTATGTCAATGAAGTCTAAAAATGCATTGCTTTTTCCATAATGCATTTACATGAACATATAATTATGTTTTAACTTCAAATGTTAACTATAAATTAGATCAAAATTGGTATTTTATACACAGAACTTAACTATAGAGTGGCTTTTCTCTACTGAAGAGAAAAGATGTGTACATTTATTGTCGTGACTTGGCTCTTGTCTCACTTTTACTCTTTACAATGCAGAATGAAGCCATTGGACAAATTAAAAAGCTTTCCTGCTCTTTGCACTTTATATTGAGGCTGGTTTCTATTTATATAAGACTTTTTCAAGTGAAGACACACCAAACCAACTGTACAAATCGCACTGCAGCTGCCCACATTTCTTCGACCTTTCGGTCAGCTTAATTGCCATATACACTACAGGATTTAAAGAACTTTATTAAAAGAGAGAAAACCTTTATATATTCATTAGTTTATCCGGTAACTAATCATGCATGATATGATTGATGACTTAAGAGTCCATAAGACAAGAGCAGCAATTGGGTGGAAATAAAGTTAATTCTTACTTGCTCACGGGATGACTTAACCTTTGTTTTCATGCATTCATAAACCTAAAATTTTATTATTCCTAAACTCTGATGGAGAAGTCCAAATCAGGTTGGTATATTGTCAAGATCAACATACTATTATTGGAGAATCACGCCCATCATCTACTTCAATTCTCGATCGATCAACTACTATACATTCTCTTGCATATCAGATGGCCTTTCAAGGTCCAGCAATACTCCTCCGCCATGACCAATGATAACTATTAGGGCGGAGTAGCTTTTATTCTATTGATTTAGGGTTAACTTTTGATGCTTAGTGATATCATTACCTCCAGCATGCATTTTAGTAAACATTATTTAAACCCAATTCATTTTAGTTCGTGTTGTTTCGTTTGCATGCAAAGTAGAACAAGGGATTTACGCATAGTAACAAATCTGACAAGGCATTATTGATTAATTGAGAGATTTTTGGGTAATATATAAGTATATTTCTCAAATCTTCAAGTGCATATTACACGACAGGGTTAATTAGATGTATATACATACGCCAATATTTTGATTAATTTCAAAGTCCACAGCCAATCCATGAGATGGGATGATTGTGGCCCTCAATAAAAGATGTTTTTTTCTCGACGTGAAAATTGTAGTTTATTTGTAGTGGTCGAGAAGTGATCAGAACTTACATTCTAAGTTTTTCATAGCCTTTTCTCTCCTGCCTTCATCACAATCCCTCATTCCAGCTTTGCAATTTCTCTATGGCAACAACCAACAAGAAATTGAAATTAAATTAGAAGAGTGGTCACTCTGTCTCTGTACAGAACAAGAAAGAGATGGAAGGAAGAGAACGTCACATTCAACTATGTCGTTTAAGATTAATGGCTTATTGTCTTCTTCTCATTGTGTGACAACGGTGGCTTGGCCATCCTATTTGTCTTGTCAATTTGATCTTCAGATGAAGAGAAAAAAATAATACATAATATAAATTTATTGATTGATTATAGGGGGTTTTGCCTAAGCTTATGAAAATTAGCTTATAAGCTTCGACAGACTCACACTAACTGCTAAAATATTATTCCATCGTGGTTTATTCAGCTGCTCTTATGTTGTACATTATGAGAATGCACGTTTTATAACTTATGATAGAGAAATGGGCCATCAAACTCTGCTCAGCTAAAAACCTACATTTTAAGCCCAAATGGGTTCTGGCCCATTCGTGCCTTCGTTTAGGCCATATCAATTTTGACGCTTTGGGAATTGGGGGTATTAATTTAAAATGAATGTAATAATAAAGAAAATATATATTTTTTTAAATATAGTTGATAAAGTAAATTAAATTAATCTGAATACTTTTTTGTTAAAAAATATTTATAAAAAGTAATTAGAAGAGGTTCTTTGTACATAGACACTCTGATCCCAAATCCCAATTTCTTTTTATATTATAATTAAATTGTTGTTCTCACCTATTTTTCTAATCATTTTTATTTTTATTTATTTATTTTATAGTTAGGATTTTGCTATCTTAATGGGTCTCTTTCAAACCCTATTTTTTTTTTATTATTATTTGTTCAGTTTTATATTAGAAGTTTAGAACCTTAAAGGCCATAAATAGAATAGTCTTACCAGACCCCACTCACTCAACCAAATTAATACAAATGTATCGTGACAGGACATAAATTGATATTTAATTCAACGAGAAGAGTTAATTGTTTGGGGAACATAAAATAAAACAAAATAGATGAAATGCAAAATTCAAGAAGATCGGTTAACGAATAACCGACATCGGGCCGTCCACTTAAGCATAAGGAAACAATTTTGTCAAAGTAAACGTGGCGGTAGATATGTGGACAATGGAATTCAAGAATTGAGGCTAAGAAGAATGATTTATTCGGTTAATGTTGATTAATAAATTAATTATATAATAAAGTCGGAGATAATGTTACTTTACTATGAATAAAAAACAAAATGATTGTCGTCTTAAAGGATAAAAGATTTAGAGTTTGGTTCATTATTCTATAGTTTTTAGAATAATATTTTGAAAAAAATTAAATTGAACAGGTATTACAATGTAAGATTTAGAAATTAATAAAAATAACCTTTATATTTGTTTATTTATTAAACATCCTTATAATAAAATATTAAAAATTAACAAAAACATCCCCAACCTATCCATTAAATACGGATAGTCGGCCACCACCACCGAAGGGTGGCCAGAGTGTTTTTGCAATTTAAAAAAAAAATATTTAAGGGTGTTTAGTTAAATTAACAAATTTAGGAAGTTTAAAAGAAATTGAAAAATATAGAATAATATTTTGGGAATAATGACATTTTACTGTTTAACTTTTTTTGGAAAACTAATAATAGTATTCCCAAAAGCAAAACAAACGAAGCCTTAGTATTTTCATATATTAAAAATTATTTTTATTACTTCGGGTATTTCTTAGGATTCTCTATCTTCCTTCCAAACAGAATCCGAAGCTGATATGTCTTTTATTGATGAATTATTTGCTAATAGCTTTGATTCTGAAAATGATTCTTTTGAGTTCTGATCAACATCTCAATGTTTATCTCCAATTAATGACTCATCAACCCGAATCTTCAAGACCAGCTATTGTCTCTGAAGTTAATGATGAAATGCGTTTAAGATTCTTGGCTGCATTAGTTTGCTTGTCATACCATGAAGGAGGATTCTTCTTAAGCATTTGGGAAAGTTGACAAGTGAGTTGAAAAATATTGGGAATAAAACTACGCATGTAATTGGCAATTCCCAAGAATTGTTATATTTCTTTCTTGGTTGTAAGGACATTTAGGAATTTCTGTAACTCATTAGCAATATAAAGCTGAACTTGAGTTGGCAAACTATCATTTAGTTCACATCTATTTTATAGATAAATATAAATGACATAAATATTTATTTTAAGATACATAAAGTTTTAATCATCTGATAAATTTATAGCATTTGGATAAATAAATTTTGTCCATACTCTTAAATACCAATCCACCAACAGCAGATAATCCCACCGATTCTAGCTATAAATTAAATGAAATATTCGATAAAAGTGGTCCCTTGAGAAAAGTGGTGGACTATTTCAATGATGTATGACAAATGGGCCCGAAGCCCCTTTCACTTATTAATTGTGTGGGCTAACTTTTATCTCTTTTTTTTATTTTTTTATTTTTTACATAAGCATCTTAACCAATTTCATGAAACTTTAAAACTATCAGTAATATAAGAGTTTCGGTGACTATCTCTATTATCATTCGTAAAAAAACTCAAACTTAAAAACTTTTGAATAATACAATCAAAAGCTACCTCTATCTTTTCTTCTCAACCTACCGACATGTTGACATGATTGAATTGCAACTAAATATGAGTTTTAACAAATTGAAAATGTCAACATGGGGATGTAGCCTATAATTTTGTAACATCGTAATCAAATTCGATAAGAATGGTAGCTGAGCCTGAGCCTCAAACTGGGGTCTTGCGTCCACACATTGCCCCATAAAGATGTTAAATGCATGCCTCGACAATTTCAAATGTTATGTTGAAAAATCTAATAAATCTTGGATTATTTGAGTTAAACCATGTGCTGGACGCAACTGCTTTGAATGCATTGTAGTTGACCTAATTTTTTATTATTGTCAGCCCCAATTGTCCATTCCTTTTACTTTTCATAGTACATAATAAACGCTAGAAGTTGGGAAGTTTGTTCTTATTCATGAACCCTCAGTTTTGTTTTATGAAATTATTCAACTTAATTTCAATATTTATTTATTTATTATTTTTTTTTTTTGGTATCCGAAAGTATCTAAGCTAACTTACGTGCATCTCTATTAGTCTCTTAAGATCCTGAAATTAACAACCAGATAAGCCCCTCAACGGCTGCTTGTTATTAATAGTTGATAGAATTTAAGATGTGTCTGACTCCTCAACCAATAAGGCGTTGTTGAATGTGAAGACTACCCCCTCTTATAAACCAGTAAGCTTGAGTGTGCCTAGTCGGTGTGAGACTCCAACACTCTCGCTCACGGTGAAGCCTATATGTTGGGTCATGCCTGTTGAAGGAGGTAGTTGCTAGCTCTAACTTCTCATTCACTGGTCAAGCACTCATCTCAACTGAACCTAGCTCTGATACCATGATAGATTTTGAGGTGGGTCTGACTCCTCATCTAATAAGGCCTTATTGAATGGGAGGATTATCCTCTCTTATAAACTAGTAGGCTTGAGTGTGCCTAGTC